TCTGATGGTCAAAATTGCAACGAGAACTCTGCCAGTCTCCCATGTGTCACCAGTTTATTGGTCTTAGATAGTAACCAGACTTTCTCCTACTCAGAGCACATTCCAAGAGGTTGTAAAACAATTAATCCAAGGTCATAAAAAGGGAACTAAGTATTTATTATAGATGCTAGGATAGAACATAAAATATCGACTAGGGTTTATCTATACAAAACTTCACTAATAACTTAATTATGGTTTTAAACCTTCAGTGACCCTGTGGAGCTGTGAGAGGTGATGGATGTTTAGCCAGATAATTACTCATAATGGATATGCATGTAAATATGCCCTGTTGTAAACTTCTATTTAAATTTATATTTTGATTTTTTGTGTGAACTTGTGATGAACTTTTTAACATGTGATCATGTATTCTGAAAAATGTTTTCAGTGCTGAGGACAAAGAGAAGGATCAGAACTGAGTTGAGGGAGGAACTGAGCTGAGGAGAACTTTTCTGGACAGAACACTTTTTAGACAAAAAGAGAGAAGCTTTTCCCTTTCCCCAATTAGAAGAATTTTTCCCTTACCCCGCTTAGGATCTTTCCACTCTCCCTGCCCCCTTTTAAGACAGCTTTAATAGGAAAGTTTTCATAACCCAGTAATTAACTCTATAGTAACTTTTCAAAGTGTCCCTTTTTCTTCCTGCAACTTCCTACTAGCAGTTAGAGCCTAGAAATTCCTGCTGAGATAGAACAAAGGCCTCTTTACTTAATACTGAGCTGTTAGGCTACAGGTGTTAATCACTTAAGCCTGCAGTCTCTTACCCTCAGAAGTAGCAAGAAAGGTTTTAGGATTTTTTAGAAGTTATCATTAGCATTTCAGTACAGCTAGAGAGCTAAAATGTGCTGAGACCCTCAGACTTTAAAACCACACCAGAGTCCTAATCTTTATCCCCACACTAAACTCTCTGGGCCAGGAGGCTCCAGGCACTTAGCTATCAAGGAAATGCAAATTAAAGGGACTGTGAGATTCAATTTTACATGCATCAGAATGACTAAGATAAAAAACCTTATACTGGTGAGGATGTAGAGCAAAGGGAACACTCCTCAACTGCAAATTTGTCCAGCTGTTTTGGAAATCAATTTGATGGTTTCTCAGCAAATTGTGGATAGATCTACCTCAAGATGCAGCTATATCACTCCTTGGAATATATCCAAAGGACAATCTAACATTTCACAAGGAAACTTACAAAAGTATGTTCATACCAGCTTTATTTGTGATAGCCAGAAACTGAGGGGGGAAAGCCAAAACTACATATCTTCCAAATGAAAAATAGATGAAGAGGAGATAGTCTAGATGTACAGAAGGTCAAGAAATTGAACAGAGGTTTGCAGCAATGGGGCATGGGAAATGGGATTAGCTACGAGAAAGTACCAGATGCCAAAAAAGCAAGAGACTCCCAGGACCCAACTGGGATGGCATTAGCTGAAATACCCAACAAATTGGGAATAAAACCTAGAGAAATCATATCTAACAGTTAGACATGGCCTGCAGCTAAGGGATGGGGCCACATACCTTTCATAATATTTTAACCCAAAATTGCTCCTGTCTAAAGGAAATGCAGGGACAAGGAGTGGAGCAGAGACTGAGGGAGGGGCTGTCCTGGGACTGTTCCACCTGAGGGTCCATATCATGTGTAGCCACCAAAACCAGACACTTGCTAATGCCCAGAAATGCTCGCTGACAGGAACCTGATGTGGATGCCTCTGTCAGAGCCCTATGGATGCAGATGTGGATGCTTGCAGCCAAACATCAGACTGAGCATGGGAATCCTAAGAGAAGAGTTGGGGGAAAGACTGAAGGAGCTGAAGAGGTTTGCAAACCCATGGGAGGAACAACAATATCAACCAATCAGAACTCCCCAGAGCTCCCAGGGACTAAAATACCAACCAAAGAATATACATGGAGGGACCTATTACTCCAGCTGTATATATGGTGGAGGCACATTGTCTGGCATCAATGGGCAGGGAAGTCCTGGGTCCTGTGAAAGTTTGATGCCCTAGCATAAGGAAATGACAGGGTGTTAGGCAGGAGTGGGTACGTGGGTGGGGTACCACCCTTGTGCAGTCAGGGGAGGGGGTATAGTGGGGAGTTTTTTTGGGGGAAACCAGGAGGGGTATAACATTTGAAGTATAAGTAAACAAATTAACCAATAAAAAGGGAAAACAAAAAAAAATGGATAAAGAAAGCATGATACATTTTCACAATGGAATGCTGTTCAGCTATTAAAAACACTGATATCAAAAAATTTCCAGGCAAATAGAGGATACTAGAAGGACAAACATGGTGCTTACTCACTTATAAGTGGATATTAGCCATTAAAGTAAAGTAAACACCGTGCTACAGTCCACAGACCAAAAGAAACAAAGTTATAAATAGGGCTCAATTAGAGAAGCCTTAATCTCATAAAGGGGAAATAGAATAAATAATGTAGGTATGGGTAGGGAACAAAAGGAGATAGGAATGAGGATGAGAACAGGAGGGATCAGGTGGAGAGAAAGACAGAGTCAGAGAGTACTGGGAGAGACAATTGGAATGGAAGGACATTTCTGAGATGACCTTGAAACCTAGGACAATGGAAACCTCCAGGAATCTGTGAGGGTGATCAAAGATAAAACTTCTAGCAATGAGAAATATGGAGTCTGAACTGGACATCTTCTGTAACCAGGCATGTCTTCCAATTAAGAGATTTGAATACCAAACCACCCTCCAAACCTTTAACCTACAAGTTTTCTTGTCTAAAAGATGTGCAGGAGCAAAGATAAAGAAAAAGGGGAGGAGGAATAGCAAACTCCATCTTGAGACCCATACCATGAGTGGGAGCTCATTCTTGACACTGTTAATGATACTCTGCTATACTTGCAGATAGGAGCCTAGCATAACCATCATCAGATAGACTTTAACTCAGCAACTGATGGAAATAGAAAGACCCATAGCAAAATAATAGGTCAACATTTAAGGAATAAAGTGGAACAGAAGGAAGGAGGATTTTATTAGCCAGTGCTATTAAGGACACCACAAGAAACCCTACAGAACCAACTAACCTGGCCCCATTGAAACCCACAGAGACTGAATCCCCAAACAAGGAGAATGCATGGGACTGACCTAGGCCCTTTGCACATATATAACAGTTGTTCTGCTTGGTCTCCACATGAGACTCATAAAGCAGGGAGAGCGGGCTGTTTCTGACTGCACTACCTAACTTTGGTACCCTTTTTCTCTACTGGGCTATCATTTTATAACCTCAATAGGAAAAGCTGTACCTAGTCTTACTGCAATTTGATATGCTATGGTGTTTTGATATCCTTGGGGGATCTCACTTTTTCTGAAGAGAAATGGAGAAAGAATGGATGATGGAAGGTTGGGAGAAAAGGCTGGGACAACAGGAGGAAGGGAAAACTGCAGTTTGGGATTTGAAATAAAGAAAATAATTAAACATAATGTACAATATTATATTAATTTTAACATTCTTTAACATAGTCGCGTTTATAGAGTAAAGTAAAACTAAAATGTAGACCACTAAAAATGTATCAGGAAAGAGGTTCGGGGTAGTTTTTTTCTGGTGTCTTGCTGTGGAGAGACACTATGAAGAGGAAAACTCTTATCAAAGAAAACATCTAATTCTTGACTTGCTTATACTTTCACACAGAGGATTACAGTGGCATGTAGGAGTGACATGGTGAATAAAGGGAGTTTAATCCTTTAACTTGTCCTCTGACTTCCACATATATCCCATGATGCTCAATCCACACATAAATTAAAAAATCATAAAAATAAAAGAGCAATTTAGATTTAGGAGACAAGAGAATAATAGCTATTGTACTTTTGTAGGATATACAACTTAAACTGTGTAGGATTTTCATTTAAAAAAATATGAAAATACTTTTTAAAAATACATTAAGAATTTCCTGAAGAAAATAGAAAGTAGTGGAATAGCAGATTTTTACAAACATATTTGGGTAATATTCCACTGTATTAATTTTGGTTTTTCATTAATTCTGTTTATTTTTATTCTTTATATACATATAACTCAAATTTAATTTCAAGGCTATACATTATTTGGTCATATATTAATAAAATACGATGCTTTACACAGCTATAGGGAAGTGTTCAGAAATTCTGTTTTGTTTTTTTTCTGTGAAATTTCAAAAATTCAGCTTTTTAGGATAGCAAAGTTGGTGTTAGAGCTAAATTAGATCTATTTTAAAATGTCTCTCTAGTGTAAGTCTGATAAGCAGTGAAATATGTTAGGAAGCCACATCATGTGATTTCTTAAATAACAGCTTTAAATTTCTTATTTTTATGATTAGCTACTAAATATATAGTAAAAGTAATGATATCAAATTTTCCTCTGAAATCAATTATTTTATCTACAATGTAATTGCTATTGATTATGATAGTATATTATATAGTAATATGCTCATGGTGTTCTATAAAAGAAATTTCACTCTGGACTCAGTTCCAGAAAAACATGCTTCACCAGAGAAACTAGTTTAGTTTGTATTTTTAAGTGTATCAAATATTTTAATGGATTAGTTAGTAGATCTAAGTAAATATTTCTTAAACAAATGAGTATATCTACCTTTTAATTAGCTATGAGCTAATCTTCACTTTGCCTGTCAGATTGGCAAAATTATGGTGAATATGCAGATCTTCAGATCACATATTTTGTCTGTTTATCATTACTTCTAATATTTCCTTATTCTTATCATTCTGTTCAGATATTTTACAGTTTTAACATTTAAACTTCATTATAAATCAGTTACAGCCTCCTTGAAACAATGTAAAATCTAAAGTAAATAAAATAGTTGCAATTGTAGAAATAGTAGCGCCTCCGCCTACGGTGGCCTGGCTGCTCTGCAGGCCTCTGCACTGAGCATGAGCCGGAGCCCGGCGAGCACGTGAGAGGCGCTGTCTCTGTCACTGTGGTCCATTCGCTGCAGAGCTGGAGGAGGAGGGGAAAGGTCCGGAGGAAACCAAAATGAACAAGTTGAAATCATTGCAGAAGGATAAAGTTTGTCAGTTTATGATCTTCACACAATCTAGTGAGAAAACTGCAGTAAGTTGTCTTTCTGAAAATGACTGGAAGTTAGACGTTACAACAGATAATTTTTTTCAAAATCCAGAACTTTATATATGGGAGAGTGTAAAAGGATCCTTGGACAGGAAGAAGTTAGAACAACTGTACACTAGATACAAAAACCCTCAAGATGAAAGTAAAATTGGAATAGATTGTGTACAACAGTTCTGTGATGATCTGGCCCTCGATCCAGCCAGCATCAGTGTGTTGATCATTGCATGGAAGTTCAGGGTGGCCACACAGTGCAAGTTCTCCAAACAAGAGTTTATGGATGGCATGACAGAGTTAGGATGTGACAGCATAGAAAAACTAAAGGCCCAAATACCCAAGATGGAACAAGAATTGAAAGTACCAGGACTATTTAAGGATTTTTACCAGTTTACTTTTAATTTTGCAAAGAATCCAGGACCAAAAGGATTAGATCTAGAAATGGTCATTGCTTACTGGAACTTACTGCTTAATGGAAGATTTAAATTCTTAGACTTAAGGAATAAATTTTTGTTGGAGCACCATAGATGATCAATACCAAAAGACACGTGGAATCTTCTGTTAGACTTCAGTTCAATGATTGCAGATGACATGTCCAATTATGATGAAGAAGGAGCATGGCCTGTTCTTATTGATGACTTTGTGGAATTTGCATGCCCTCAAATTGCTGGGACAAAAAGTACAACAGTGTAGCACTAAAGGAACCTTTTATAATGTATATAGTCTGTACAATAACAATAAATACAACGGAAAAATGCACAGTCAATTTCTGCTGGCTAGACTGAACTGAAGATCAATCCTCATAGTTCAAACTGAGAGTTGAGACGAAACTCTAAGGATACATCTTGGACCAAATCGTACTCCATTTTTCTACTGGTGGTTTGAGCTTGTCTTCTATTCTGGGCCACTCTAAACATTTATAATTCTAACATTGTGAATTTCATCTTATACCTGCGGACCATCTTAGTTTGTCTTCCCATAAGTCATAGAAGCTTGATGGTGATTATTTTGAGGTTTCCATTCTTGCATAAAGCACAATGCTGTCTTCATCAGAAAACAGTTTGGCATGAGAATTAAACATAATAATGAACATCGCAAACAATTTATAAAATTTCTTAAGTATATGCTTTGGGCTAGTTGCAAAGACTCTGCTGGTAGCACTTCAAATGAGAGCGATTTATCTGAGTGTACCGCATCTGGAATGGTGTTTGATTGGGGGAATTTAATTTTCCTGGCAAACCACATGTACTGTTGGTGTGAGTAGAATACCTGATAAAAGAAATGTCAAAATAACCAACACATGAAAAAAAAAAAGGATAATTTGTGACTCCCTAAAAATGTGTCTTGTGTCTCAGACTCTCACCAAGGTTCTACAAAACAAGTCTGTGGTTATCTTACCCAAGTTTATACACAGTGTCCTGCAGTGAATTTTTATTTAAAAAACATTGTAATGAGACCGAATGTTAGACTTCACTCTCTGCATCACACACCACATAATCGGATTTCATTATGTTTTGAAATGCTTCTATGCCTTTCGAATAAGTTAAACTATTTCATTTGTTTTGAATGTTTTGGATTGCTATACAATATAATATTCTAAATTTAAAAAAAAGAAGTAGTAGTAATAATAGTAATAAATAAGAAGTAGGACACTAAGCCATAAATTATATTTTAATTCAAAAAAGTTGTAAAACATAAAAATTATAGTAAATTGAATAAATATATAATATGCAAATTCATTTAACTGTCATTGAAATTTACCAACTATTGGAAATATTTCATAAAAATTGAATCAATTAAAAAATAAATTTTGTACTGTACAAGTATATAAAAAATACAAAGAATGTTTCCTGATATTAACTATTAATTCACCAGAAGATTCACATCAGTAAAAAAATTCCATAATTGATTCATAAGAATGAAGCTTTTATTTTTAAATAATTTTTTTTATTAAGAAGAGTGGAATAGAAAAGAGACTTGGAGATATTGATGGAAAAATATGATGGTAACATAAACCCAGGACAATTTGAAATAACACTAACTGTACTGAGACTGGTTCAAATTTGAAATGTATCAGCAAAAGCAGAAATACCAACAAAGGGGAGTTAGATCCTGTAGAGGCCACCTCAAGTACATAGGCATGGCTACCAGTTGAGTAATGAGGCTACCCACCCAGCTCAAAATTTTTAAATCAGAAATGTTCCTGTCCAAAGGAAAGACAGGGACAAAAAGTGGAAGAGACAGAATGTAAGGACATTCAGAGACTGCTCCACCTAGGGCATCTGTAGACACCAAACCCCCACATTATTCTTGATGCCAAGAAATACTTGCTGACAGTGCTAAAAGCAGTCTAATATTGTTCCCTGAGAGGTTCTAACCAGTACCTGACCAATACAAATGCAGACACTTAGAACCAACCATCAGACTGAGCCTTGGGACCCCAACGGAAGAGCTAGGGGAAGAACTAAGGAGCTAAAGGGGATTGTAAGCCCAAAAGAAGAATAATATCAACTAACTAGATCACCCAGAGCTCCCAATGACTAAACTACCAACCATAAGTATACATAGAAGGAACCAGGCCTCCAGATAAAAATGTAGCAGAGGAGGGGTGCTTGATGCCCAAACTTAAGGGGATACAAATTGGGAGAGGCAAGAGTGGGTGAGTGGGTGGCAGAGCACCCTCATAGTGGCAAAGGGGAAGGGGTAGAGAGCAGATAGGATGGGAGGTTGTAGAGGGATAACTGGAAATGTGGATATCATTTGAAATATAAATTAATAAAATGATTAATAAAAAAGAAATCAGAAATTTCCACTTCATATCCCCCTGTTTAAAAACTTGTATTTTTCTCTAACATTAACAATATATACACAATAGAAATAATTATAAGAACCATAAAACTAGAACATTTTATCATATTTTAAATAAGCTACATATGTACAACTTTTCAAATAAAAAAAAACTAACTTAAATTTCTATCTAGATACAATAGTCACACAAAACATTAAATTTTTATCACTAAACAATAATCAAACAAAGCAATCTTAAATTCTGTGAAGATATATTAATCTATGCCAAAGTAAAATATTTAAGACTAGTATTTATTTATTTATTTATTTATTTATTTGTTATTATTTTTCTCTTTTTCCATCTTTTTACTCATTATTAGATAGCAAAGTAAAATCCTTGGTTTAAAAATTACTTTGTTTCCTCTCTGACCATAACCAAGTGACTTTAGACAATAACAACCATACCATATCAAATGACCAAAAACATCCATCCCACCTTCTGGAGAATAGGGGAGTCACGTTCTTAAAATTACTTGTCAAGAGACAAAATATATTTTGTGTAACCTGTGAACATTAGGATATTGGCCTAATCATGGGAAAACTAGTTGTATCTTTTTCTATCTAGTTTCTGTGTGGTCTGTATATTTTCTGTGTTGTTCAATAGATGTGTTGTCTAACCTCTGTGTTTTCCAGGCTCTGAGTTTTCCATTCTCTGTGTGAATGATCATTTGGGCTAGACCTTTTGAATTTGTTTTACATGCACACTTTGGAGAGATCACTAACTGAGCCAGTCTGTGAGAGGGATTCACCTAGGGTATTTGCTTCTTGAAAACATGTATATTTCAACTGATAAAAGGTTTTCCCTGGTCAGATACAATTTTTATAAGTTTTGTTAATACCATATTTTTTATTCCCTGTAGATACATAATCATAACCACATCCTCATCTTAAAGCTATTGCAAGTATCCACTCTAATGACAACACTTCCTAATAGTATATTGGTTCACCTAATTTCTCAGTTATTTTGTTATCCCAGTGTCTCTCAGCTGCTGTTATTCCTTTTTTTTTTAAGCCAATATTGAGAAAACTTAGAATTAACAAAGTATTATTAAGTCTGTCCCTGTGCGTTTTCTCTTCTTATCATTTAATCAACATTTTTATAAAGGAACGATTGTCTCTTTCTACAACTGCTTGTTCTGTAGTTTTGTGTGCTACACCAGTAATATGTTTTATATTGTAATATACAAAGAATTGCTTCATCTTATTGGATACATATATGAGAGCATTATCAGTCTTAATTTGAGCTGGTAGCCACATAATTGCCATTATTTCCAATAAGTGTAAATATACAATCAGCCTTTTCAAAATTTAAAGCAATTTCCATTGCAACCTTAATTATGTGTCAAAGGTACTGTGTATATACCTTTGTTTTACAAATTCTACAAAATGATAAATATCCAAATATCATTTATTTTGATACCCCATGTGTTAATAACAGCAGGTAAAGGAGTTTGGATGTATAGAGGACACCTAGAACATTATTTTATTATTTCCTTGGCTTCTTGCTCAGTGATAGAAAATTTTTTTCTTTAAAATTTTCCCATTAACGTGATGTTTCCCATGAAATTTTAAGGCTTCTAAAACATTGCCTATTAGTAATTAATCAATATTCTCTTTTCATTGTACCACCGGACTTTTTTTTTTTATTGGATCTTTTATTTACATTTCATATGTTGTCCCCTTACCCCATCCCCCACCCACCTGGGAACCCCCTATCCCCTTACCCCTCCTCCTTCTTCTCTGTGAATGTAACCCCTACCTACCACCCCCAATCCCACTTTCCCACCCTCAAAATTCCCACACCCTGGGGCGTTCAGGCTTCATGAGGTCAAGGATCTCATCTTCCACCTATGCCCAGCAGGGCCCTCCACTCTTATGTATTCAGCTGAAGCCCTGGATCCCTCCCTAAGTGCTCCCAGGCTGGTGGTTTAGACCCTGGGAGCTGTGGTTGGTTGATATTGTTGCTCTCCTCATGGTGCCACAAACCCTTTCATCTCTTTCAGCCCTCACTCTAACTCCTCCATTGAGAACCCCATGATCAGTTCAATGGCTAGTTGTGAGCATCTGCCTCTGAATATGTCAGACTCTTGAAGGCCTCTGAGGAGACATCCATATCAGGCTCTTATCAGCATCCACTTCCTGACTTCCACATCAGCATCTACCTTTGGTGACTGCACATGGGATGGATACTCAGGTGGAAAGGTCTTCAAATGGCCCCTCCTTCAGTTTCTGTCCCTCACTTTGTCTCCATATTTGCTCCCTTGAGTATTTTGTTGCTCCTTCTAAGAAGAACTGAATCACCCCCACTTGGTCTTCCTTTTTTATGAGCTTCATGTGGCCTGTGAGTTGCATCTTGGGCATTTTAAGGTTCTGGGCTAATATCCGATAATCAGTGAGTGAATACCATGTGTGTTCTTTTGTGATTGGCTTACTTCACTCAGGATGATGATTTCTAGTTCCATCGATTTACCTAGGAACCTCTCGAATTCATTATTTTTAATAGCTGAGTAATACTCCATTGTGTAAATATACCACATTTTTTGAATCCATTCCTCAGTTGAAGGACATCTGGGTTCTTTCCAGCTCCTGGCTATTATAAACAAGGCTGCTATGAACATAGTTGAGCATAAGTCCTTGTTATATGTTTGAGCATCTTCTGGGTATATGCCTAGGAGTGGTATAGCTGGATCCTCAGGTAATGCTATGTCCAATTTTCTGAGGAACCGCCACACTGATTTCCAAAGTAGTTGAACCATCTTGCAGTCCCACCAACAATGGAGGAGTGTTCCTCTTTCTCCACACCCTCGCCAGCATCTACTATCACCTGAGGTTTTAATCTTAGCCATTCTGACTGGTGTGAGATGGAATCTCAGGGTTG